CTATATAAAGAGATGCAACAGCCTCATCATCATCACTCTAAATTTCTGGAATTCACTTACCAGTAGAAATATTTTTTATTAAAATATAGGGCTGTTACTTTTTATTTTGACAAATGAAACCATTTTTTTAAACCCACTATCTACTATCACCATTATTTCATTAATGGGAGAACACTCTAACACCAAAAGAATAGAAATAATTATCTCAGAATAAATTTCTTTATGAAAAACTCAAGTTTCCTATGAAATCTTTCTCTCCTTCCACCTTGGACGGATGAAAACTTTATCATGGACTGGCAAAATCCTTGGCCAAATGTTTAGGAATCACTGCTCTAAATCCTGTTGTGACATATATAGGTTCTACTAGAGGCCCAGTACATGAAATTCACCCACGGGGTGGGTGTCCCTTTACCCCAGCCTGCGCCCCTCTCACAGTCCAGGACCCCCAGGGGTCCTTAATGCTGCCACAGAGGCAGGAGACGCTCCTGCCACCATCGCTGCACTCACCAGCCATGAGCCCAGATTCTAGCTCAGGAGTGCTCCCCCTGTGGGAGCGCACTGACCACCAGGGGCAGCTCCTGCATTGAGCATCTGCCCCGTGGTGGTCAGTGTGCATCATAGCAACTGGTCATTCTGCCGTTCTGTCAATTTGCATATTAGCCTTTTATTATATAGGATAGGGTTCTGATTGTCCAGTGGGCAGGTTGCCAAAGGTTCCACCAGCATGTATGGCACCAGAGAGAAGCAATGAAAACATACCATGGGACAGAATAGTAGCTGGTTCTGATGCTGAGAATCTGGAACAGAATGGCAACTTGGGCTGCCCCCAATTCTCAGAGAAGGGTATAGACAGGAAAGGCCTAGCTCCTCCTCATGTTGGGGAAGGTAGACTATCAGCACAGAGGAAAATTTATTGGTGTGAAAGTATTATCACTGAGTGCCAACCCAGCTTTTCCAGAACTTTCAAATTTTTTATGTGCATGTGGGTTGGCAGGAAGATAGGAAACCTGTAAAATACTAATAGAGTGAAGCCAATGACAAAAGAAAGAAAAAATTGCAAAGATACAGAAGAAAATTTGGGGGGTGGGGAGAAGAAACATTCAATATCTTGAAAGTAGTGGTGATTTCACAGATGTAAACATGTCAAAGTGTATCACGCATGTACATTTTAAATATGAGCAGTTTACTATACCTAAAATTTACCTCAATAGTTTTTGTTTTCATTTACCTGTAAGACTATAAGAGCAAAGGCTTCTGAATGGGAGCCAGAATACAGTGCTGTGATTTCCATGAAAGTAGAATTAGTGCCCAAACTTGGTTAATCCAATCTCTATATGACAACCATCAAAGCCCTATTGCTCAGCACAGGTGAGGAGCAGCAGCGTAAGTTTGGCCAGAAGCAGGTGGAGAGAAAATATAGGCAAAAATAGCCCCCCCCCCAAAAAAAAAAATCCCATGAGAGGGACCATCTTCAAGTTTGCAGTCCCAAGGAGGAACCGGGGAAACGGGTCCCAGTGATTACTCTGTTGAAGACTAAGACTAATAAAATAAAATAAAATAAAATAAAATAAAATAAAATAAATTCATAGTTACCATCAACCCATGATGCCTTTTTTTTTTTTTTTTTTTTTTTTTTTGGTCCTCTGAAATGTGTAGGGCCCATGGGCACAGAAGCGCCAGATGCACACCACTTACCCCTAAGCTGTCCTACTCGGGCTAGAACTCCCGCTCTCACTGGCCAGGGCAGCCCGCTGCAGCAGCCTCCGAACCAAGCTCTCACCCTTACCCAGACCTCACAGCCATGTCCTTCCTCCCATGCCCCGCCCTCCACTCCCTCCCCAAACCCCTACCAGCCCACCTTCGCCCTTTCCTCTCCCCTTCCCCGCACCGGCCTCACTCCCACACTCGGGTCCCGGGGCGTCCCTCACCCCTGCCCACAGGAGCCCCAGCCCCTCCGGTTCACAAGTCCCCTCCGCCTGGCCCTTCGGAAAGCGCCGCGGCCCCTCATCCAGGCCAGCTCCTCACCTGCGCACACACCCCGACCTCGCCCGGCTCCCCTACCTGAGACACACACACCAGGACGCTCGCCACACGCCAGCCCTCTAACCCTGTCCCTTCACAACCCGTCCACTCACCAAAACCCGGGGCCGGGAAGGCCGGTGCCTCATCCCCTCACGCGCTCTCGGGGCCCTCCCACCCATACTTACCGTTCCCTCACGGAACCCGGACCTGGACCAGGCCCGATCGCCGCCGCGGAACCGCTAGGTGAGTTCAGGCCGCCGCCATCGCTCTGGAGGCGCACCAGCCGCGCCCCGCCCCGCGCCCCACGCAATCCGCGCCCCCGCGCACCACACGTAACCGCCCAACGACGCACGCCTGGGCAGCGGCGTGCCAGCTCATTGGCTAGACCGGGCCAAAGCCGGAGCGTCGATGCCTGTTTCCCGGCAACGGCCGGGCGCAGGGGCGGGGCCACCGCGGCCTTCCGAGCGAGGAGCACCACCCCTTCCCCCAGACCCCGCCCCTTCGTACCGCACGCCCCGCCCCTCAGGAGGACTCCGGCGTGGTGTCACGGGGGAAGACCTCTGGGGAGGCGGAGGCCCACGGGCTAGGGGCGGAGCCTGGAGGGTGCGGGGGAAGGTCGATCCAGCGGGCAGGAGGCGGGGCTGACGGCAAGAGCCGGGAAAAGACCGGAGAACGGGGGGGTTTAGGAGAGAGATGGGCTGTAAGAGTCTTGCACGGAACGGACTGGACCACTGGTCCTGGGCGGAGCTTGGAGTGGAAGAGTAGGCGGGGAAGGGGCGTGGCTAGCACGGAAGGGCAGGTTTGGGGGCGTGTTCGTGGGTGGGCGGGGCCTGTGGAAAAGCGGAGCCCTAGAAGGAGCTGACTGACTGCCAATCATCTGATTGTTTTTGCTCCGTTTGAGCGCCGGGCTTGGATAGTACCTGGGCGATGACCGCTCCTCTGGGCTGCTCCACACTTTGCTGCCCTCGGACAACCTTGCTCAGTGTCTTAGTCAGTCACTCAGAAAGACGGAAATAAGCGCCTCCTGGTCAGGCTGGATTCCAGATCAAATTAGAACGGACCTCTGTCCTCCAGGACTTCAGTCCTTTAAATGAGACGTTTGCAGCATAGAATAATAAGTGTCGTGGAAGAGCAGCTCTTAGCATGGAGATTTGTGGGTGTACTAGAGGCTGATGGGGAAAGAAGAGCTCAGGAAGAGATAGTGTCTGAGCAATCTTGTGAAACAAGCAAGAATAAGATAAACTAAGAGATACGGAAGTTTCAGATAAGGTCTGCAATGTAGTTGAAAGTATCCTATTAATGTTAATGCCTTGGTGTTGAACATTGTACTCTGGTTATATAAGATGGTAACAGGAACGTGGGTAAGAGGTTTACAAGAACTTTCTGTGCTGTTTTTATAACTTTCCTGTAAGCGTAAAAATAGTTGAAAATAAAAAAAAAAAAGTATTTTTAAAGCAGTGGAAGTTTCAGTTCAAAAGGCACATACCAAGGCAAGGAAGAATGAACAACATGTCAGGGGTTCAAAGGCCAGAGACAGGGATTATAAGAGGAAAAGCAGATGTGGGGAGATAATTAGCTCAGATATATAGACCCAGTGGGCTGAAGGTGACTTGGGCTTGGCTATCCAAGCAGGAATATACAGTGAGCACTTAGTGGGGTCTGCAGCTAAGAGAGAGTTCTTAGAAGTCATTAGATGGAAAAGGAAATCCTGTGGGTGACCACGGATTCCTGGGCGGTGCTTGGAGTGGAAGAGTGGGGGTGGAAAGGGCGGGGCTAGCACGAAAGGGCAGGTCTTGAGATTGGACAGAGTTGGGAAGAGGAAAAGCCTCAGACAGAATCCTAAAAACACCAAAACGAGGAATGGGCAGAGAGGCTTATGGAAAATTCTAAGAAGAAATAAGCAACACCAAGAATTATGGAGTCATAGATGCCATGGGGGGAAGGGGGAGATTTCAAAAAACTAAAAACGTTGGAGATTATAGAGGTTTCTTCCAAGAAATGCTCCAGCCGAAACCAGTGTGGCTCAGTGGATAGAGCGTCGGCCTGCGGACTGAAGGGTCCCATGTTCAATCCCGGTCAAGGGCATGTACCTTGGTTGCGGGCACATCCCCAGTGGGGGGTATGCAGGAGGCAGCTGATCAATGATTATCTCTCATTGATGTTTCTAACTCTCACTCTCTCTTCCTCTCTGTAAAAAATCAACAAAATATATTTTTTAAAATGCTACAAAACCACAAATCTGATCAATCACTTAACTATGCAGAATATTTCACAGGTTCCCCGTTGCCTTCAGATAAAACCCTAGATTTATAATATGGCCTATTAAGCTCTTCCTGAGCCATTCTCTCTTCACCATTCAGCCTCATCTCACACTACTAGCCCCTCAAGTTCTCTTCACAGAATAATTGCTGTTCCCCCAGCCACCCATGCTTTTTGAAGTCTCTATGCCTTTTCACACATTATGCACTTTGCCTCTAGTGCACATCACTCTCCCACATCTATACCTAACTCGTGTTCCTTCTACAACACCCGGGCTCAGCTGGGAACCTTCCTATGTACTACAATAGCTCTCTGAGTACCCACCTAATGGAGCAGCCATCACATGGATGTGTAATTACCTGTCTATCCAACTATTTCCTCTACCAGACTATGAGTTTCTAGAGGGCCAGGATTGTTTCTCATTCACCATTTATCCCCAATACTTCGTATAATGTTGGTCTGGCACATAGCAGGTATTCTCATTATGACTTGTTAACTGAAAATATAATAGTAGTAAAAGGAACATCAATTTGAAGAAGTTGTTTTAGGTTTTTTTGTTTGTTTTGGTAGGAGAGATTTAAACATATTCACAGAAAGGAAAATGAAAGAGTTGGAGCATCTAGAAAACACATCTAATAGCTGGTGGGATTAGGTAGAAGAGGTTACAAAAAGGGAATTGGGGGGGGGGGGAAACACACCACAAAAATGGTCTTTATCACCCTCATCCAGCAAGCGTTAGGAAGGTGGAGGTGGTTGTAAGGTAGGGTACAGATAATGGAAACAGTGCTCACATCTGATGTGATAGGTGTTTGTCCCTGGAGACTAAATAGTTCAGCACCTAACACAAATGGTCCACTGGGTAAATATTGTTAAATGAATAAATAATGAGGCCCAAGCGGGGAACTTGCATAAAGTAAAACAGAATGAAAGCCTGAGCCCACACTGTCACTAATGTCTTCTGTCTAGAAGGCCCCTCTGTAGTCCAGCTTGGCGGTAGTGGTGGGAGGGAGGGGGGTAGAGAAAAGGCCCAGCCTTCTCTCTGAGGCATGCACCCCCACCTTCTCCAGGGACCTCATTAGAGATGTTTAGCTGAGCAGGTGTAAACCCAATGCCCTGGGAGACAGGGCGGGGCGCCAGAGCCACACTGCTCCTCTCCTCCAGTAGAGCTGGCCTTGGTTGTGTTGCTAAGAGCTTCAGAGGCCAAAGACTGAGAAGTCAGAGCTGGAGACTAAGGGCTGCCTCTTCCAGTCAGGCAGGCCGGCGGGCACTAGTCTGCATCTCCTGAAGCAGCCTGCCAGCAGAGGCCCTGGCTATCTCGCACCCAGGCACCGGGCCACAGAACCATGAGCCAGGACAGCAAAGTGAAGATGACAGAATCCAGCCCCCCTGCCCAGGCCAAGGCCAGGTGAGAGATCCTGATCTTTTGTGTCAGATCTGTGTGCCTCACTAGATGGAGCCTGATTCTTCTTGTTGCCCCCAGTCACAAACTCAACATTGAATGAGGAACAAATGAAACATGGCTCCCCCTCTTGCCACAGGAAGGCGCTGCCTGTCCTGGACCCATCTGGGGATTACTACTACTGGTGGCTGAACACGATGGTCTTCCCTGTGATGTATAACCTCATCATCATCGTGTGCAGGTTTGGAGGGACCTTAAGGGAGGGGCTTTAGCACAGGCAGGGGCTAAAGAGCGAGGCTCAGGAGAGGGGCGGGGCCTGGAGGAGGGGAGGGGAGGGGCCTAAGCAAGGGCCCAGTGGGGAGTGCTCAGTGGCTGGGGAGACCACCTCAGGCACAAAGGATATCCTTCAGCCAATCCCTTCTGTCTCCTCCACACAGAGCCTGCTTTCCTGACTTGCAGCATGGTTACCTGGCGGCCTGGTTAGTGCTGGACTACACTTGTGACCTACTGTACTTACTGGACATCGTGGTGCGCTTCCACACGGGTCCGTGAGTCCCAGGACTGGCCCTTTGTTTCAGGTTCCCTCCCCAAAGAGAGCCTCTTAGTACCTAGAAAGTGACACACACACCCTCTCTACGTGCGCGCGCGCGCACACACACACACACACACACACACACTAACACACACACATCCCAAGCACTTTCACATGCATCTATGCTTGACATCCTTATGCATACCGCCCTCCCTCCCTGTGGCTCTCTCCCTGTCCTACCCTGGCCTGCCCAACCGCACCCTTATCACTGGAGCAGGCAGCTGGCCCAGACTCAGCCCTGTACCTGACCCCACACTACACTTGAACCCATCCCTTCCCTCTCTTCCTCCCAACAGGATTCTTGGAGCAGGGCATCCTGGTAGTGGACAAAGGGAGGATCGCGAGTCGCTACGTTCGCACCTGGAGCTTCTTTTTGGACTTGGCTTCCCTGGCGCCCACAGACGCCGCCTACGTGCGGCTGGGCCCGCACACGCCCACGCTGAGGCTGAACCGCTTTCTGCGTGTGCCCCGCCTCTTCGAGGCCTTCGACCGCACGGAGACCCGCACGGCCTACCCCAATGCCTTCCGCATCGCCAAGCTGATGCTCTACATTTTCGTGGTCATCCACTGGAACAGCTGCCTCTACTTCGCCCTGTCCCAGTACCTGGGCTTCGGGCGCGACCCCTGGGTGTACCCGGACCCCGCGCAGCCTGGCTTCGAGCGCCTGCGGCGCCAGTACCTCTACAGCTTCTACTTCTCCACGCTCATCCTCACCACCGTGGGCGACATCCCGCTGCCCGAGAGGGAGGAGGAGTACCTCTTCATGGTGGGCGACTTCCTGCTGGCCGTCATGGGCTTCGCCACCATCATGGGCAGCATGAGCTCCGTCATCTACAACATGAACACCGCGGACGCGGCCTTCTACCCCGACCACGCGCTGGTGAAGAAGTACATGAAGCTGCAGCACGTCAACCGCCGGCTGGAGCGGCGCGTGATTGACTGGTGAGGATGCTGGGCGACCTGGACCCGGGTATTTCCCTTCTCCCTTAGGCCTGTAGGGTTCTACCAGACAGACTCTGAGGCTGGGGTCTGGTCCTTATGCCCGGTGGGCCAGGAAGGCGATCAGGACATGGCACTCATTGGTTTTGGGGGCGGGGGGAGCTTACTGGGTGGGGCTTGGATGTCATCCACTTACTGTATCTGGGCTTAGGGTAAGGGGCTGCTGGGTAAGAGACTGATAAGGAGAGCCGAAACCAGTTTGGCTCAGTGGATAGAGCGTCAGCCTGCGGGCTGAAAGGCCCCAGGTTCGATTCCAATCAAGGGCATGTACATTGGTTGTGGGCACATCCCCGGTGTGGGGTGTGCAGGAGGCAGCTGGTCGGTGTTTCTCTCTCATCGACGTTTCTAGCTCTCTATCTCTCTCCCTTCCTCTCTGTAAAAAATCAATAAAATATCTTTTTTTAAAAGAGAGAGAGCCGAAACCGGTTTGGCTCGGTAGAGCGTCGGTCTGCAGATGGAAAGGTCCCTGGTTCGATTCTGGTCAGGGGCATGTACATTGGTTGCGGGCACATCCCCAGTAGGGGGTGTGCAAGAGGCAGCTGGTCGATGTTCCTCTCTCATCGACATTTCTAGCTCTCTATCCCTTTCCCTTCCTTTTTGTGGAAAATGAATAAAATATATTAAAAAAAGAGAGAGAGAGAGTGAGACTGATAAGGAGAGATACTCTGCACTAGCTAATGGGAACTGCCACTGCCCTAGAAGGCCTGAGGGAGAAGGGGAGTAACCCCGCCCCCGGAGGGGAATGGCCAAAAACAAGATGGCTGACTATGTCATGGAAGTCCATACTGTGGGCTGAACAAAATGAAGTGTTACCCACCAGAGCAGAAGCTTCTAGAGACGAGGGTGCTTGGTGATTGAAGTGGATTTCCATTGGCTGGTACAAGACAGCCCTGGTGGGTGGGGTAGAAACTGACAGGAGGTCAAGATTGTCTTATTCATTGTCTTCCAGTGGAGGCATCCAGGCCCTGCGTGAGGGAGAAAAGGTAAAAACATATCTGTGACCAGCAAAGGAGATTGTGGAGTGGGGATATTTCATCAGCCAACCCTCAATTATTCCCATAACCCCTGCGAAACCTCAGAGTGCTTGGGCTCTTGGCTGAAGTTGAGATGAGCCCTGGAGGAAGGAGGAAGGGGGGCGGGGAGGCACATAGGATGCTGGTGAGAAACTGGTGCTGCCCTTGTCCCCAGGTACCAGCACCTGCAGATCAACAAGAAGATGACCAACGAGGTGGCCATCTTACAGCACTTGCCGGAGCGCTTGCGGGCAGAAGTGGCCGTGTCTGTGCACCTGTCTACTCTGAGCCGGGTGCAGATCTTCCAGAACTGTGAGGCCAGCCTGCTGGAGGAGCTGGTGCTGAAGCTTCAGCCCCAGACCTACTCGCCAGGCGAATACGTCTGCCGCAAGGGGGACATCGGCCGGGAGATGTACATCATCCGCGAGGGTCAGCTGGCCGTGGTGGCAGATGATGGTGTCACACAGTATGCTGTGCTTGGCGCAGGGCTCTACTTTGGGGAGATCAGCATCATCAACATCAAAGGTGGGCACCCCAGCATTGTTCCCAGATAGGGCTGGGATGGTCTGGGGCGGAGGCCGGGGTTGGGCGGGGGGGGGGGGGGGGGGGGGGGGGGGGGGGGGGGGGTGTGGAGTGGAGGGGAGAGAAGAGAAGATAGTAGAAAACAGTCCTGAGACCAGATGGTACTTCAGAGTCCACACAGATAATGGACACGTGGCCTTTACCTGAATCACTAGGGGGCTCAGGGCAGAAGCAGGACATAGAAACAGGACATGAGAAGGTGAACCAAGATCAATGAGAAGGGTGGGTTCTTGGAAGAGAGAGTACCCGTGCTCTGTGGGTGTTTACCGGAGGCACCAATGAGCCAGTGGAAAGTGGCAGAGATGATGATAACAATAACAATACTTACTGCCTGCATATTACATGCCCTGTTTAAAGCGCTTCTCAGGTGCCAACTCATTAAAATCTCACAGCAACTCTTACGGCAGATACCATAATCTGCATTTTACAAGCAAGGGGCCCTGGCCACTGTAGCTCAGTTGGTTGGGGGTTATCCCATGCTCCAAAAGGTTGCTGGTTCAATTCCAAGTCAGGGCACGCTCCTGGGTGGCAGGGTCAGTCCCCGGTAGGAGGCATGCAGAAGGCAGCCAATAGATGTTTCACTCCCAAGTGGATGTTTCTCTCCCTCTCTCCCTTTCCCTTACTCTCTCTCTAAAAATTAATTTAAAAATGTAAAATTAAAGGTAAGGAAATTAGAGCACAGGGAGGTTTAGGAACTTGTCCAAGGTCATGCAGGTAATAAGTACACACACTTGGGGTCAGCCCAACTTATTGAACTCCATGCAGGGCCAAATACTGTCTGTTCATTGGCTCATTTATTCCTCTTATCACTCTGGGCAGTAGGAGTTGCCTAATCACAGGTAGACACTGAGGTCTTGGGAGGTGGGGGAGCCTGGAAAGGGGGTGAGCACAGTCACTGACTGAGGCTAGTTGCTGTCTCCCTGGGGGACCCCATTTTTCAGTTGTCCTGGAGGCCTCACATCTGTCCTCCAAGGGCCCCCTCAAGCTCCGCATCCTGTATGCAGTCGGCTGCTATCTACCAGGCTTTGGATAAGTCACTTCCCTTTTTTAGGCCTCCTGTCCTATAGGATAATATTAAAAACCCAAAAAGTTATTTGTGCTGATTAAATGAATAGTGCCGGGCATGTAGCAAGTGCTCAACAAACAGTACCTCCCCTGCCTCTGCTCAGGTCCTTCTAGCTCTGAGACTTTGCAGCATTCGTCCTAACCTTTCTTCCCACCCACCCTCCCCCCACAATATCTTCCTAAAATGCTAATGATGCCATACAGCTCTCCAGCTTAGAATATTTCAGGACTTCCCCATTGCTCTCAGCAGAGGGTCTGAACTGCCCTCCTGGCTGACCCCTCCTCTTTCCACTGTCCTCACACCCTGCACTTCAGCCACTCTGAACTGCTTCCTGTTTTCTACTCCAACCTAATTCTTTCCTACCTCCATCCCTCTGCTCATGTTCCTCCCTCTGTGTAGCTGCTCCAACACCCCTTTCCTTAGCAACAGCCCCCTCAGTCAGGCATCACTTCCTCCAGGCTTCCCTAAATTCCCCACCTTACAGTTAGGGACTCTTTGTCTGTCTTCCCACAAAACCAGATGCATATGTCCACACCGCACCAGCAATGCTGTTATGTAACTATCCAATTAAATGTTTGTCTCCTCTAGACTATGACTTCTTGGAGGCAGGTCACTAATTCCCTCTCCAGCACAGGACCTAGTCCCAGCAAATTACTGAAGCAGAAAGAGAGGCTCAGAAGCACAAATATGGACGGGGGGCATCCTTGTTCAGGAGTAAATGCCCCCTCACACCCACCCTGACTACTTTTCCTCCCATCTGTCTGCCCATGCGCCACAGGGAATATGTCTGGGAACCGCCGCACAGCCAACATCAAGAGCCTAGGTTATTCGGACCTGTTTTGCCTGAGCAAAGAAGACCTGCGGGAAGTGCTGAGCGAGTATCCACAGGCCCAGACTGTCATGGAGGAAAAGGGCCGTGAGATCCTTCTCAAAATGAACAAGTTGGACGTGAATGCTGAGGCAGCTGAGATCGCCCTACAGGAGGCCACGGAGTCCCGGCTACGAGGCCTTGACCAACAGCTGGATGATCTACAGACCAAGTTCGCTCGTCTTCTGGCTGAGCTGGAGTCCAGTGCCCTCAAGATTGCTTATCGCATTGAACGGCTGGAGTGGCAGACTCGAGAGTGGCCAATGCCTGAGGAATTGGCTGAGGCCGATGATGAAGGCGAGTCTGGGGAGGGAACTTCCAAGGATGAGGACAGCCAAGAAGGACCTCAGGCTCAGAGTGACCCCATCCCTATCCCTAGGAATCCAGAATTATAGGACAGCCGGCCTGCAGAAACTCTGCCATCCTGTCTGCTGGGTTCCAGAGATGGGAGTGAATTGGGTCTGCAGATGCCCACCTGGAGATGTAGGAGTGTAGCAGACACTCATTCCCCACTCACCAATGCACACACATGTGCACACATACTACAATTGCACATACATATACAATGCTCTAGAATTTCCGTTCTCAGAGCGCACATGCTTGCTCACAAACATAGTTATATCTTATACCCACATGATATATGCACATTCAATCATGCACCACAAAAACACACATATACTGAGAGCCATACACCAGTAGACACACAGATGCCCTCCACACACTTGTAAATACACAAAAGCACATCCAGAGCCCTCTTGTTCCAAGGTATCCTTTAAATGCCCCCCATATGGGGTCACAGGTGTACCTTGCAAATTGCACTTCAATAAAGTACGTGCCTTCTCACCGAGCATTTATGGAGCTGATGGGGAAAGGCTACTGGCTTTAGTAGTGGGCCAGATGACTTCTCTCTGGAGAAGTCACAAGGGTGAGAGGCATGAGCTCTGTTGTAGCTGGTGGGTTGTATTCAAAGGGGCTGGAATACCTGATGAAGTGAGAATAGTACTGAGGCAAAGCGAAGCAGGATTATACCCCACACTGCTATAGTGTGTACATGCCTCCATAGGCATATTCACATATACACTCAGACCCCTGCATCTCATAGCACTGTATATCCTCAACCTTGTCAGCTTTGCGGGTGTTCATTTCGTTCAGTGGGCCAGAGCGGATACCTCTGCTCCTTTTTCCTTCTTCTGACCGAACCCTGGTGCCTGGGGTCAGGGTTACCCTGCATTCAGGACTGATTCCAAGGGGAGAATAGTTCCAGGACTACTCCCCTGGTCATGTCCTACCATGCCAGTTGTTGGAGCTGCCCTTGATGCTGCCAGATATTCTAAAACAGGGTGAAGAATACAGACTAGATGGAATGGATTGTCAGGAGAGTTTTGAGGGGTTTAGCATATTTAGAAGGTCTGCAGGTTTGGGGCAGAGAAGATGTTGTGGGGTCTTTGGGGGTAAGTCTGATATCATCTCTGAGTCACATTCACCGTAGTCACAGCTTTAGCTCCTCTAGGGCTTGCCAGTCTTTGTGTCTAAGCTGTGACAGCTGGTATTTTAACATGTACATGGGATTTAATTTAATAATATGATTGAGTAATAACACAGAGTGGTCAGTGCCATTGAAAGAAGCATTTATTACTTACAATTCCCAAGAGGAGGGAGCACACTGCACTATGTGTCCCACACAGGGAATAACCAGGGTTGGCCAGGAAGCAGGGGGAAATCATGAGCAAATCACCTTTATTACTATAGCAATGAAGTTTTTAGGTGGGACTATCTCCTATTAGGCAGAAAGCAAAACACAGATTTGGGGAATTGTAGTTGGAGGGTTCATAATATTATTTCCAAGTACCTGTAATAGTTGAACCTGGAAAAGATATAAATCACTTTGGTCATTGGTTTGGCCCATTATTTTAAGATGCTCAATTATCAATTACTGAATATCAAGAAAGATTATTACCGGTGGTACAGAGAATGTAGAGTGGAGCCTTCAGTGCTGGGAGGGCAGGGTATGTGAAGAGCATCATCTAATGTGTGGTCATGGGAACAGTCCCCCAGACCTGTTGGTGTCTTCAAAGGTGACCAATCTTTTAAATGTGGTGGATGCTGGTGACAAAGATGCACTCAGACATGAAGGACTTGGAACAACACTTTCTCAAATAGCCATAAGAACTGGGGCTTTGACTGAAATCAAGGTGTCAGAAGAGACGATGAGGGAGGTTGCACATTAAGTTATTTTTAAAATATGTGGTTATTTTGTGACATCTTCCTCACAAAATATTAGATCCTAGGGATGTCACTGGGTCTGTCTTGTTCATCTATGGATCCTCAGGGCCAAAACTGTACCTGGCACATAGCAGGTACCCAAATAAACATTAAATGTAAATAAGAGATGAGAGCTGAAGTAGGTAGAGGCTCAGTGATGGGGAAAGATGTGTGTCAGTTTCTCGAGAGGTTCTTCTACCATCTCAGCACTCAAATCATACTGAGTTCATTCCTCATGGTGGAGCCACCACACCAGCAGACACTTTGAATATCAGCAATTCCATGCTGGGGTCTTCTGGTTGTAGAGTGATTTCCACCATTATGTGGGAGGCAGTATTTTGACAGTTTGGGATTAAGCCGAGTAGAGTTAGGTCAGGATAGAGAGAAAGGAAACCAAAGTTTAAGTTTCTGGAATAACCAAAATAATAATAGTCTTCTAGTCCAAAGAATATTAGTTATATGTATTAAGCACTAGACTAAGTTCTTATATATGGCAGAAAACTTTACTGACATATTCACTTGGGATCATTTTATCCTCCTCCCATTATAAGAAAGTACCTAAATCTTTGTGTCCCCAAGACTTAAAAGCTTTTTAAATTACAGAATCAAACATAGAAACTCTATTTTTGTTTGTGAAAAGGAGAAGTCCTAAATTTTTACAAAAATTCACCCAATTAATTGTGCCTGGTTATCTGTGAGGGCTTAGAGTTGAAGAAGCAGAAGCTTCTACACCCAGCAACAAGAAATTCCCCAAGACTAATAAAAGAGATGGGATTCTTGAGCATCATATTCGTTCTCTTTTGCTCTGTAACATATTGGCACAAATTTAGCACCCATTTATTATCTCACAGTTCTGAGAGTCACACACAGTGTAGTTCAACCGGGTCCTCTCTTCAGGGCTTTCCAAGGCCAACATCCAAGTGTCAGCTGGGCCAGACTCTTTTCTGGAGGCTCTGGCAAGGAATCTTTTTCTAAGATCGTTCAAGGTGTTGGAAGAATTTAATTCCTTTTGGTTATAGGACTGAGGTCTTTGATTTCCTTGAAATAATAGCCTCTTCATCTTCAAGACAACAAAGGCCTGTTAAATCTCATTTTCCCAAATCTCTTACTTTCCCTCCCTATTATAAAGCTGAGGAAGATCTCTGCTTTTTAGGGCTCATGTGATACCCTGTTTCCCCGAAAATAAGACAGTGTCTTATATTAATTTTTGCTCCCATAGATGCGCTAGGTCTTATTTTCAGGGGATGTCTTATTTTTCCATGAAGAAGAATACGGTACACGTTTATCGTTAAATGAAAATAAAGGAAATTTATTACCTGTATACGGTATGGTAGTACGGTAGTTGTCAACACAAACCAGACAAACTGTGAATCTTACAGTATCAAGAATTTACTCATTTATTCAATGACAATCATGTCATCATCTTCTGGAACATCATCATAACAATCCAATTCCTGAATTTCCTGGTGAATTTCCTGTGACTCCATTTCTTTCAGAATCAGTGGACCAAATCTCTCATGTTTAGTCTAGAGGGACCTTACTTTCGGGGGGTGGGGGATGCCTTATATTTCACTCAGAAGGAAACCTATAAGTAGGTCTTATTTTTGGAGGATGTCTTATTTTTGGGGAAACACGGTAGGTCCACCCAGATAATTCAGGATAATATCCTGATTTTAAAGCTAGAAGTTAACTTAATTATATCTGCAAAGTCCCTTTTGCCCTAATCATCAAGAATAACACCAGAGGGAAAAGGTAATAGGAGCCAAAATTCTACCTATCACGGGGTTTCTGGGAAGGAAAGCAGCTGGGACCCCACTTCCACAGGGGTCCCAGAATATGAAACACTGAGAATTGAGTCTTTGGAAACTGGAGAGAGATCACTATGGCCTAGCTGGCACTGGAGCCTCAAAGCAGCACCCCTTAGGTGAGGAGCCAGCTTGAATAAGGTAGTTATCAGCATAACCCCCAAGTTCTAAAAGCCAGAACCCTCCAAATAGTCTGTCCAATATAAAATCCCCAGAAACTGTTGCCAGACACTAAGTTGGAGAGGAAAGAGAATGGAAAGAAAGCCCCAAAACACAACTGAGATTAAATCTTCCATAATTTGGTGTTTAAAAGTTTAGATGAGAATTGTTGATTTAAAGAATCAAGAAAATGACTGTCCTAACCAGTTTGGCTCAGTGGATAGAGCATAGGCCAGTGGACTGAAAGGTCCCAGGTTTGATTCTGGTCAAGGGCATGTACCTTGGTTGCGGGCACATCCTCAGTAGGAGGGTGTAGGAGGCAGCTGATAGATGTTTCTCTCTCATCGATGTTTCTAACTCTCTATCCCTCTCCTTTCCTTTCTGTAAAAAAACAATAAAATATATATTTTTTAAATAAAAGAAAATGACCAAAATTTTATGCAGTATGAAATAACTCATAACTGCTATATGTACATACATTTCATTTGATTCTTAGAAAAATATTAGGAAATTTAAATTATTATTAAGCTTCTTTTTCTAGATCTGAAAACTGAAACCCATAGAGCAACTTAAAATATTAGATCCAATTTATTGTCAAGCCATCTTATGCCAGGTCCTAGGCTAAGTGCATTGTCTCATTTAATCCTTACAAATATATGAGAAAGATGCTATTATTACCTCATTTTGAAATGAAACCACAGTTCTGGGAGATTAAATACCTTGTCCAATATCACAGGGAACCTAGGTGCCATGGAATGAAACCTACGTCTGTCTTACTGTTTCTTTTAAGTAGATAAGGAAAGGATCGCCTTGGCTTGAGGCCAGGCCAGGTGCCTTCTTTTTTTTTTTTCTTTTTTTTTTTTTATGACTGTCACAGACACTAACTGGTGGTAACCAGGGAGAAGGAGCCAGTCAAGCGGAATAAAGCTTGTGAATCACCAGCTAGCCTGCCCAGTGTGCTGAAGTGTGATCTCAGGGATAGAGCCAAAGACAAGGGACCACCCACTGTTCTAGAGAAAAGCTGCCAATTCCTGCTCTCCTGGCTGTACACATGCAGCTGTGGGAGGAGGTCAGGAGTCTCAGAGTCAGTGCTAGAATCCCACAGAAGTGTCAAGAGCTGTCCAAGGAGCCTCCTACTGAGAGCCCAGCTGCTTTTGGTTTAGCTCTTCTCCCTCCTACAGGACCACTTTCCTCCTTGGGTCACAGCGCTCAGGACACCTCAGCCTCGCTCAGAATTGGGCTGTGCACTCCTCTTCAGTGTTCCTAATTAGCTACTCCCCCGCAGATGCTTCTTCAGCCCTCCCCCCTTCATCCTTTTCTTTCTGAGGGTTTGGCTGATAGCCTCCCCCAAGACAGATGAAAATAAAGTATCAAGGTTAGAGGAAATCAGATTCATAGAAAGAGCTGGTGCAAACACTAGGAGCCAGGAGCAAGAGGAGGCGGGGTGGGTAGATTCTACCTTGGGGTTTGGCTTGAGGCTTGGATCAGAGATGAATAGTCAAGCTGGGGTCAGAGTCATGGCCCAAGTCAGGGTGAGTAATAGGCTGGCCTAAAAGCACAACAGATGGGAAGGAGCTTAGAGTCAACCAGGTGCTTGGAGCCCATGAGAATCAGCTTTTTGTTCTGAAATATCGGGGATTCTCAGCCTCCTTCAAAATCTTTCAGGGTTGTTGAAAGAGATGTTTGGAGAATTAAAATGTAAATAAGATAATGAATGTAGGTTGCTTATAAGTGCTTGGTAGATAGCAGTTGCTTATCTGCTAATGAAAGTAGCTATGACCATTATCCCTATTCCTCTAGCAGCAGTTGCGCCTTTGAGGGCC